TCGTTTCGAAAGTGTAGTCTTCGCGGGCGGCGAGTTCGGCTAGAAATATTGTTTTAACCACTGCAGCGGCCGTGGCGCTGTTGCATTTTAATTTTGCAAAATTAGCTCCTTGAACTGTGGTATCGAGGCAGCACATATGATATATTGGGATATGACGCAGAAATAAATGCATGTACATGTACTCACATAACTCCCAAGGCGAGGACGCATGTCAAACCTACTTTCAGCTTTCGGGTCATTTGGAGGCTCCAGATAATGAACACAGGATATAGAGCGAGAACTAAATCGGACGCTGCGGAGAATGCTATAGAAAGTTGATCGATATCGTAAGTTTCACGTTTTGAGGGCATTAGCTACCAGAGGATTGATATAAAAAGGACTCTCAACATACATCCCTGGAAAAATGCATAGTCCCTCTGAACATGAGGATGCCAACATTTCCCTGGGTTTCCTGGACCAATTCCTTTCCAAAGTGCTGAGGTTGGAGTGCATTGGCCGTAAATAGTGAAGACGCAAACGGAGTTGACCAACGTCAGCATGACCATGCCAGTGAAGAAGATGTATCTAGTCTGTTTCGCTCTATCGATGATCCGAAGCAGGAAAAGCGCAACGGAGACCTTGCCCCAGTTCGTCGACATGACGTGAAAACCCTGAGAGATCCAGTTGAACTTGTTCGCTTGAAACTTTTGGTGCTCGTCTAAATAGTAAACATGTCGGCCAGTGCCATAATAGACACATACCGTTACAAAAATTGTGTTTATCAGCGCGCATACCTGCAAGACAAGTGTTAGATATCATAACTTCCCATCATGACCGGAAGGAAGAAAATTAGTTTATACCATAGCGAGACACATAAACGCATCATCCCACCCCCAGCGATTCATTAGTCGAGTTTTGGTGAAGATTCTTGCCAGGACCAAAACGAGCGCAAGACCGCATTCAGACCACGTTATTGCATTGAGCATAATACCCTTATTAACATCTCCATCTGGAGGGGGCGGTCCCCGATTGTCCATGGCAATGCAAGCCGCTTCTATCTCAAGTCAACAGATCAATTATGAGTCTTTGCCAAACGCCATCCACGCGAGGGTAACGGAGGGGGAGCAAGGGAAAGAAAAATATATATATATATAAATTCAAGCACCTCTGGGGCAACAAAAAGCAGATTCTAGTGATAGTTAACCAATTTTCGGGTTCGAGTGGAAGCAGAACATAATGCTGTAGACTGGTCGTCGGCATGTTGTCTGGCGTATGGTGACTTGATAAACAACCCGAAATGAATAATTTGAGCATTCATTACCCGTCCTGCCCGTTGGTTATTTTCACCCTTCATCTCTTTCTCCTCCGCCTCTCTGCCATGGGTGAAAAAGGGAACCCAGCATCCCAAGGGTAGCCTTGCTCCCGGGTTGACTGAAGAAACCCCGGCAACATGAAATGGCCGTGGAAGTGCGCTTACCATTGCGTTATTGAAAGTAAAGAGATGCCCTTGTTTGTTTGAACTCTTGGCGGGACATGACAAAACGGGACAACCATGTCTGCTTGGCTCAGGCCAGTCGAACCCATGGCCATAATGTTTTCTGTTAAGTGGTTTGTTTGAAGGCGACAACAAAGTTGGTCATCATTTCTCCAACCATGAAGCAAAGCGACACCCTCCCCCCCCCCCCAGCCTGTCTAAACTGATGAGATCAAAATATGTTTCGCCGACTATCTTTCTTTGCGGAAATTTCTCTTGGGCCTAGAGATAAACAACCTACAGGTTAAACCAAAAGTTTCTTATCCGCATTCTAGCGGATAATACTCGCGTCAAACCCGTGAGAGAGGTAGATATGATCGACGAAGGGGATTAGATATTCTTCGAGCCGACTAGTTGCCTGCAGAACATTATCTTCAGGTTTCGAATGGAGGTTAGAACTAGGTGATCCGAATTTCACGTTCTAATGACGAAGCGGTACGCGAGGAAGCATCATGGACACTGGAATCCACACAGTTGTCTAGAAGCATTCTGGATTGCTCTTTTCCCAGGAAGTCCGCCCGCTGCAACTCATTAATTCTAGCTTTTGCTAATTCGCCGCTTCAGGATGATAATAGCGCTAATTGAGAATTGAGAATATAAACCTTCGACGGTATCCACATTTCGATGAGCCACGACTGTGTAAATCATACCCTATCCTAACCCGGAGTCAGCACTACTAGACTGAGTGGCACCCCGCAACGCAACTTGAGGCAAAGAAAGGGTTCAAGTTCGTCTCTGCTATTGGCATTATACCTTAGTATACCTTGGATTAGAGGAGTTCTGCGAAGCCGGAGTTCTGCGAAGCTTTTTCGCCGACATATTATCAGAGAAACATCCCGATAATAGTTATAGAAGAAAACCTTCACATCCAAGCTTACATATATTGATACTCTTGAAAAAGCATGGCGTTCGACGTCGGGGTAGCGACGGGATTCGTATGATGAAAGTATTCTGAGGCTTGGCACTGCATATTCCCCGTATTGATGGAATTTGAAACTGGATCTGGGTTATTCTCCTTGTCCGTTTAGTTATGACGGCGGAAACTTCAGTGATGAGGTTTCGCCTGAACGGACTCCGAGTTAAGTTCCTTGAATGTTAAGATACTTCTGCAAGCGCCACTATGAGACATGAAAAGGAAGAAATGTCAAAGAAATTGACTCCCATGCCTGTCCCTGAAGCCTCGGAGCATGAAGTCATCGCACTCCATCAAAGAATTATAGGTCACTGGATTTCCATGCAGGTGGTTCTTATGAACATTGATCCTGCGTTGCCTCTCAACCATTTCAAACACGTAGCTAACTAACTACACGAGAGAAAAATTGTAGTTCTAAGGAATGTCGCCACCAGAATAGAACAAAAAAGTGTGTAAAAAGCGTTGGAGTTTCAGCCACCTGTGCTGGCGAATGTTAAGCATGCATTTATTTTATTGAAGATGGAGGAGGGTTTGAGTTGGATTTGCGGGCGAACAGTGGTTTTAAAAGTCGGCCGGAAAAACATTCGGCGTGGTGTACCTCTGCTACAAATCAGGACAACTTCCCTCAATTAAACACTCCCTACACTAGTCATCCCTCACTCATATTCCAACCACACCTCTCTATATGCTATTGTCGGGAGTTGATTTTATCATATTTCTCCAGACTCTTATGACCCACTAATCCTAATTCTGATCCCTAATCTATTGAAGTGAGGTTGAATAGAGATGTATTTACATAGTATTATATGTATACTTACGATTATTATTTTAGATGGTGACCAGCGATGATCATTCGACTGGTCCCGGATAACACTAAACCTTACTTTTATGCTTATTTCTTTCCGAGAAGTTTATTTGTCGATACAAAACCTGGCTGGCTCTTTGGCAAAAATATTGACAGAAATACTTTTCCAAGTACTCCGAGTATTTTACAGAGTATCTAGTGCATTGCTCTAAGCTCTCTCATATAATACTATCTGCAAGACCTTTCTAATCCTTGAAAACGGAGATATCTGGCATTAAAACTAGCGTATAGATATCATCCAGTAAAGCAGTTGAGCATAGTTTTCATATGAGAACTAGAGCCGCCTTCTTGGTAGATTTGAATTGCGTTGGTTTCAAAGAACTGTCGGATATGCATTTAATGAGTTTCGAAAGAGATTGTATCAATGTCAAATAAGTTTCAGGCCAAAGCCTTACCTATCATCGGATTTATGTGAAGATATGCAGGAAGGGGGTTTATGAAACTAACTGTAGAAATTTGTAAACTGTACTTTTTCCAATACCGTTTGAACAGCCTAGTTCATGCCAATACCAGCTTCACCTTTCAGAAACAGAAAGAAAACCAAAGAAAACGGGTTTCTAAATGTTAAACCACCCCTAAATTTGGGAGTTCAGCTGAGATGGAATTTCATGACTGAAAAGAGAAATAAACAAGGTACGTGGTGAGTATCTCCTCCTTCCCGATAGCCAATTGCTGATGTCAGATCTACATCCCTGGGGTAGATAACCTCGAACATGTCAGTGTATGTCAAAGCCACAATCTCGCTTCAGGAAAACAGGATGATTTCCAGGCAGATGGGTTTACTAAACCCAAACCACCAGCCACGTAGCGAGCAGTGTGAAAAACCTTGGGACGTTTCAATACGTTCATAGTTGTCGGAGATAAGTGTAACTGACGCAACAATCCACGCCGGTCGGCTTATGGCGTGGATAAACACGTGGTCACATATTGAGTCGTTGATGATCTCTCCGAGTGGTTCTGGCAGAGCCCGCAAGAAACCTTTCTCTCTTAGTTAAATGAGCCATCAGTAGCTACAGGGAACAAACAAGGAAGACAGGAGGATACAACTAATTTTTCCTGCGACCTGGTTCCATTCAGCTGCTCAATTCTTCAACCCCTCCCTGTATTAGAAGGTTAGATTAGATGTTGCCTCTTGAAAAAGTTCGCAAAAATCCCGGTGCCTTGCCAAATATCCCAACTCTGGGATTGGAACTGTGACACTTTCCAAGGAAGTTATGGTAAGTAAATAATATCCCTAATCTCTTGAATGGTAAAAGTTCGGCAGGGTTGTTAATATAGCCATTCCCATTGGATCATCCCAAAATGACGAACGATTTTTTCACACGTGAACTTTAAATAGGATAATATGTATATGCTGTTTTAGATTGTTGTTATGATGGCTTCTATCACAATGAATCCCAGCATGGGGGTCTGGCCCCAGGGATATTCTCAAGCAAAGATACATGGAAGGTTCTGAATGAAATTACCAAAATGAACAAACCGAGAAGTTGTCCAAAGACCCCGTAGTAAGCACGCAAAATGCAGCTGGTTTTCTCGCAGAAGAAATTAGGGTAGATGGCCCCTGTCCACAGTACAAAAGTGAATGAAATACAATTTTCCAACATTCGCGGCGATAATTTATATGGAAGCCCAAGTTAATATGAGAAAGGGTTGGGGTGTGGTTTACAATAAACTTAAAATGATGTTATCCTTCAAGTTCCATCAACTCAGGACCCGTGGCCCAATTGGCAAGGCGTTTGACTACGATTGAAACTCTGTATTTCATCAAAAGATTGTGGGTTCGAATCCCACCGGGTTCACTTTTTTGTGTCTTCATTTGCCGACACTCCAATCTCCATGCGAATCTTTCAGTCCAATATTTTTATACACTCCACGGATCTAAATACCTTCTAGAAAATATCGACACGTGTTCACATAATCCTCAAGAGTTTCAACCGCTCTTCGAAGGTCGCCGTCAGAAACTTGTGACTCGCTACTATGGGGTATCCAGCAAAAATATAATAAACCTCATCTTGGACTTAGGCTGAGCTTAACTGGATCTATAGGTGTTCGGCCCTAAAAGTCACAACTAAAGTCTTTAACTATTAATAGTGGGCAAAAGCCTAAGATTTAGTTGAGTCAAAGGCGTGGTAATTTTACTCTGTAGCGCCTTTCTAATGTTCGGGGCAGGCCAGACTTTGATAGATTCAACACAACACCCAAATTTTATTCCAATGACATGATCCGAATAGCAAAAAGAAAGCATCCTGTTGAACCCGGTGGGATTCGAACCCACAATCTTTTGATGAAGAGGGTTTTAAATCGTAGTCAAACGCCTTGCCAATTGGGCCACGGGTCCCAATGCATTGAGATTTTGGTTAGGTCCGATCCCTACAGAAAGGACCCACAGCATCCGCTTTTCGTTTAGCCCTTCTTTTTGCCGAGATCGACCGGCAAACCGAGATTCCCATTAAAAGTTTCAACCGCCACGCAACATATTGAGTTCTTCTAGTTAAACCCTTGTGAGAGGGAGGATTGATAGTAATTGCGTATTCTCTCATATGATCCCGTATTATAGCAATTCCAATATTAAAATGAAATGAGCCATTGCATATTATCTGACTCCTTTCTGACGGCCTAGTCCACCCGCTACGGAGATATATATATAAATTCCAGGGAGAGAAAGCTAAGCGAGGTTTTAATCTCGACACCCCAGCTCATGCACACACTTTTTGCCTACAATCTTAGCCGATTTGGTTAGCTATCCGGCAGAAGCTCAAGTTAACACGGCTTTGATATCCATACCGCCGTTACATACCATTGTGAGATTTGACGCCAAACCAGGCACTGACCAGGGAGGACTGAAGAATATGGCACGACGTTAACATCGTTATCAGAGCTCTTATTATCAGTCTTTGATTTATGGTTTATCTAAGTCCGAGAATAGGTGGGTTTGCTCTCCGGTTATGTATTTGTCGTTGGGGTGGCTAATCAGGGAATAGAGTAGCTATCTTTGAATAGCACCAATTGTCATCCCAGTCGTTATTGCAGATGGCTAAACACGGAACATGTCTTCTCCTGTGGTCCTTTGGCTTCTGAGAGCTAGAGTCACCAATAAAGGGGTTCTGTGTGAGCTTCTGCGTGCAATGCTGCGGAATAAGAGCAGTAGCCATGAAATATGTCGAGAGCGGAAGAAAGCAGGTAGAGAATCAGCCCATTAATTTGTACTTACGTGCAGATAGAAATCTCAACTGCAAACTCAAGATTTATACCCAATGGGATTGTAGGTGCAAACTACGCGACTGAGAGAAAAAAAAAAAAAAAGAATATCTCAACCAAAAGGCCCCCTAATAAATCTCGAGCTTTTCGTCCATCGCCGCGGCTTCAAGCTTCAACTTAGCCCGATCTCTATTTAAATAGTCTTAAAGTTCGCGGGTCCAGCCCAAAGTCTCATCCTCTTCCCATAATACTGCAATCCCAAAACCATCAAGAATGCAAACCCACAAATGCCCGTCATCGTCCCGAATTGGCGCACAGTTCCCTGCTCCTTTGCCCACCGTACCATGAAATAACTGACAACAAATCCGCCAGTTGTGCGGCCGAAATTGATCCATGCAGCCACTTCTCCACTGGCTTCGGGGTAGCTGTCCAGCACGTATGCGTTGACCGCAACGGTTGTGATCATGATTCCAAAAACATACAGACCCCATCCCAGCGACGCTAGCATGTAATGGTACTTGCCGTCTAACGCGAAGCCAAGTAGGACAAGTCCCGCGACCATGAAAGGAGTGGAGATCCAGACCGCTACATATCGGGCCTCGGGTTCCAGACGCCCATTGTTGTGCCGCGCGGCTATTTTGGCTATCAAGTCATGTAGCCAGTGGCCGACAATTTCACCAAGGATAGCAGCAGTGACAGGGGTGAAATAGAAAAATCCTTTTTTTAAAAAAATCGCTTGGTTAGAAATGGAAGAAATAATCTGGAAAGAGGTGATGGGTACTTGCCTATCTGTTTTGGGCCAAAGCCGTAAAGGGGCCCAAGGAAGATGGAGAGTGTTGTGTTAATCCCAACAACCCAGGCGAAGGTTAATAGGTAATACATCATGGAGATGAAGACAGGCGGCTTGCAGATAATTATGATAGGCCTCATGCATGCATCTTTGAACGAATTGCGAAGATGTCGCGACCGGAATTGTTCGATACCAACCATTCGCTTCCATTTAGGTCCACGAGCGGGTTGCTGAGATTCGGGGAGCTTCCGATCGTAATACGTCTCGTCAATAAAGAAGATGATAAGAAGTAAACAGAGTCCAGTCATTATCGTGTATACGCCAAAAGCCCACTGCCAGATTTGTGTGTTGATAATGAAGGCAGTGAAGAGCGGGCCGAGATAAGGAGAGACAATAATAAAGCTAGACCAGATGTTGATTTTTCGTGCGTGCTCGTGGAAGAAGAACAGGTCTTTGATGTACATGAGACCACCCTGGAGAATATTTTAAATGGTCTTTAGTGTTTGGCATCTCGGGAGTGATGGTGTTGCTTTGAACTCACCCCTTGAGCAACAGTGGAAAAGAACCCGTTAAGAATTCTAGCAGCCTGTGACAAGTAAACTGATTAGTTTTGTCCATACTCATCTCCCATGGATTTATAAATTGGCATACCATGAAAGACTCAAAAGTCTGGGCCGCTGTGCACCAAACAGCTGTTGCAGTCGCGATAACGGTAAACCAGAAGAAGACGGGGTACCGGCCAAAGTAAGCTGCCAGTCCCACGACGAACACACCACCGACCCCTAACATAAAAACATTGCCGACTTGCGAATGGTTAACCTCATCTGGAGTCATACCCCAGATCCTAAATTTCATGTATTAGATTCTTGATTTTTTGTTTCTCTTCCGCATTCCCCGTGATGCAAAAGGAGTGTATCTTACCCAGCTTGCGGAAGCAGAGTTACGGCTCCCGTTGCGCTTCCATAATCCGGAAGGAAGGCGGTCATGGAGATAATGATCAAGATGAGGTGTTTCTTGGCCCATGACCAATTGAGAGGATCCAATGGCGACGCAGAAGGTTGGGGAATGAGAATTTTACTGCCATCTGCAGTGGTCTTTAATCCGTTGTCTCCTGCAAGAGAAGCATCAAAAACATAGCCATCCTTTTCCGCAGCAGCTTCGAGGTTGTCTATTGCATGGCTTAAATTGTGGGCAGCCGCTTTCCTCTGAATGGAAGCGGTTTCAGAGGATGGCTGCCTCTGGCTTTCTTGATCAGCCATTGTTGTTTAAACGCAGTCCTCTAGGCAGCAGAAATTGGGGGGGAAAAGGCTAACAATATACAATAAATATAGAAGAAATAGAGAGACGGTGGGGAAAAAAAAAAGAAAGAGAGAAAGAAAAAAAAAGGAATGAAGGTAATAGTTTAACGAAAGACGATGAAGAAGATGGAGCAAAGAAACTAAGAGAATGCAAGTAGAAATGTTAAACGCTGAAGGATAATTCCCACATGCTCTCGAGGACTGGCAGACATTGCAGGTCTGCTCGTCTTGAGTTAGATAAATGGAACTCTCATACTTCCAAACTTCAGGAAGAAAACACCCCCCCATCCAATGAACAACAAATCCCGATGACTAGGAGTTCTCAGGCACCTGTCGTCCGTACCTAGATGGGTCGATTGCAGAAGGCCGAACCAGGATAACAAACATGACACCAGTGAGATATCTCATGGGTATTATTATGCTGACAGACACACACCCCGGCCGTCGATGCTTGTCGTTCTTCTCATCTCGTTGCGCCCTTAGGGATGAACGTGGTGTTAGTTTAGGTCGGCGGAACTCCCACCCACGCATTCATATATAGGCGCTAAGGTGGTGAGATTTGTCTTTCCAGAAAAGGGGTTCGAGGCACATTAGGCGCCGCATTAACTTCGAACCTGTGAATGATCTGATAGCTGATGGAGGGAACCTTGGAAGTTTTTGCTGAGGGGCTTTGGAAATAAGGGTCTAGAAACGAAACTAATAACTAACGTATTGTTGACCCTGCAAGCTGTGTGCCAGGTTTGAGGAATTGCGTGTCAGCTTTTCTCGCAGTTGTAATGATATGCCAGTCTTGTTGTGATAACTAACAGCGAACTAACTAGCCATTCTGGTAACTTTGTTACCTTGAAGGAACGGCTGGATTTCTCTAATATGGCGTTAGTATGCTTTTTATCAATGCCGGGAGCATTTAGATAATGTCTTCCACGTTGCAGACCAACCTATCATAGCGTTTGTACTTAAATCAGTCTCGAAAATTTCCGCTCTGACCTCCACGTTCCCGTGTCCGCGGGAGGAGCCGGAAAGTAAAACCGCGTTTACAAATGTAATTACGATATAGTGAGTAACCCCATGGCATGGCTGGAATGTTTGCAAGTGGAAAAGGGCTGTGATGTGAGGCTAATTCTAAGCCTGAACAATATCCTGGAAACTCTCGCAGCATCCATGAAATAAAAGACGTTTCTGTTGAAGATAATAATGTTTTTCTAGCATTATACATGGTGGAAAAATCCCGTCCAGAAATCTGTTGTCTAATATCTATATGCAAAATTATCCCTCTATGGTGGCCCCTGAGCCGCATCCGATAGTTTATCTTTCACCTTATTAACAGAGAGCCATTCCAGCCAAACGACACCCAATAAACCTATGCACGACAACCCAACCCCGACGTAGAACGTCTGCGCCAATGACCTGTTATACGCGATGAGAACCGCATCATAAAGCTCTGGAGGAACTTTGTTCTTGATTTGTGTGGCGCCGATCGTCAAGATACTGTGTCCATCAAAACCGGGTACATGTGTGCCTAGATTTCTCATGAGTTGGTTGGTAAACACGTTCTGTGCAACTGATACCATAATTGCTGCAGCGAGGTTTTCTGAAAACATTATGGTTGCAGTGCCAATGGGAATATCCTCAAGTGGAAGCGCAGTTTGCGTAGAGACGAATGCGGCCTGCAGACCCAACCCGATACCTGCGCCTAGAATGAACTGGTACCCTATCCATTCAGGATGGCCTGAATCTACTTTAAGAGTAGTAAGGAGACCGGTCCCAATGGCCATGAGAATAACGGTAAGATAGGTGAATTGTACATAGTAGCCAGTCAGGGAGGTTAGCGTTCCACCTAGAAAGGAGAATATGACGAAACTGAGGATCATGGGAAGATTCATGACACCGGACTTGACGGCGCTGACACCCTTGATGGCTTGGAACCAAATGGGGATCTATTGTTCCCGGTTAGTCAGTTCTATCTCGATAAAGAAGTTTTGGGTAGGGGGGTCAGGAGAAGGAGAAGCAGAGCAGACATACATACATAATAGAGCATTGTGAAGAAGCAGGCAGTAACGCCAGAGCCAAAGAGCGCAGAGCCCCAGATGTTTCGATTACAAAACACACGTGGGGGAACAGTTGCGCGATCTCCACTGATGATTTGAATGATAACAAAGCCAACTAGTAGAGCCGCGGCGATGGCTAGGAGGGCAATGATGCGCCGGTTCTTCCATTCGTACTTCGTACCACCCCACCGTAGAGCAAGCACCAAAAAAATAACGCCAAGCAAGATCACCGCAGTCCCAGGGAGATCCATTTGCTTTAGTTGGTCGATCAGGGAGATCTTTCTTCCCTTACGCATTCGAGGTCGGTATACGAATGTCATGATAAGCCCGGTAATCAGGCCGAGCGGTAAATTGATGTAGAAACACCATCGCCACGTTAACTTCGTGTTATCGGTAAAAGCGCCTCCCATAAGAGGACCAGCGATGGATGCAAAGCCATACATGCCGCCGATCATCCCAACAAGAGTTGGTCGTTGGCGCGGCAGAACTAGATGGGCAACTAAAAGGAAGGCTCCATTGGTGACGCCTCCGCTCCCGACTCCAGCAATTGCACGACCTGCAATAAGTGATGTGGAGTTCGGGGCGACGGCGCAGATCAAAGAGCCCAGCTCGAAGATAAACAGGGCTGTGATGTACGTCCATTTAATGGAGTACAAGGTATACAGTTCTCCCCACATCAACTGGAATGCGCAAGTGGTGAGCAGGTAGGAACTGGCGTACCAGCCCACATCGCCAAGGGCATGGAAATTATCGGTGATTTTGGGGATGGCAGTAGAGATGATTGTATTGTCGAGGCCAATTAGAAAGACTGACAGATTTAGGCCAATTAAGATTAAGGAGAGTTTGTATATGCCGAGGTTCCTTGGATCATAATCATTGATTTCTTCGTTTTCCTCCTCTTGGTTATTTTGCCCGGGTTTACCAGCTGCAGTCGCTTCCCCTGCACCAATTTTTTCTGTTACAGAAGCATCCCTGTCCTCGGTTCTGCGTTGTGGCGCCTGCACGGGCGGGGTTTCAGGGCATCCGGAAACAGAGTTGATGACTGACCCTGAGGAAGTGGTGCTACCGGGGTTGAGGGTAGACTTTGTAGCTAGAGGGTTCATGCGCCGTATTTATAACTACCGTGGCAGCTTAGGAACACGCATCTAGATGGGTCGCGTTAACATGGATATGGAAACAAATTGAGAACAAGGTGCAGGGAGAATGATGGCGCTTTTTCTGACACAATGATGAAGTTGGGAGGGAAGTTCAAAGTGGAATTAGAAAGATAGTATTAATTGAAATACTATTCGGATAAATTGAAGACTCTTTCCATCTTGATATACCTCTTTTAACCCAATGGCGGAGGACTGATTCTTCGATGTATTTAACTCTACTCCGCACTTACAAGAAAGGACCTTCGAGATGTAAGGATCCACATAACTTAAGGGGCAGAGGGGAAGCATAAGGGGGCGACTCCCAATCAAGAAAAGCGCAGCCCTAACTTGGGCCTTTAAATTCAACGCCACAGGAATGAGTAATTCTTTCTCACACCTGGTGGGGACAATGATAGAAGACACTTGGGCACAGCAGGGGCACAGCAAGCAAAAAACAAGTGTGGAAGTTGGCTTTGGAGAGTCCATCCATGCATCTTCAGTTCTCCATTTCATGACAGCTGGTTAATGTTCCGGTAAGCGGAATTCTAAGAACTAAGTTAGGTAAAAGTCCGCTCAGGTCATTGGGTGTGTGCTCGACCCTGGTTATTTCGGCTTTTCCTGGCTCAGAGTGGCAGGGCGTTGCGCTTGTCGAGACGCGTATTGGAGGAGTCGAGGACTATGGACTATGGACAATGGAACCCATACACATTAAAATGAGGGCCTGTGAAGATGCTAGGCAGTCGGTTAGATATGCTTGCGCCAGGCCATTGGGTCAGTCGAAGTAGATCATTGAAATCTACCAAGTTAATTACTCCAACCAGTGTCTTAGCTTGTTTGGATGACGGACTTCCGACGACCTGGTGCTGGGAAGGCAGAGACACGCCCATATATTCATTCTTCTGGTTGAGTTCGGCTGTTCTCGTGAACACTTTTGTTCCTGGGTAGAATTGACCATCGGCTCCTTATTGGAGTGGCCTCTTTCGCTTTACTTCGTTTCCCTCATATCTACCCTTATAATGCCTGCACTGTCAGATTTCTCAGCTACTTCCAGAGAGCTGCGGGTCTTGCCTTTGTTTGCGTCCCCACTCCCGCGCCTGAGCCCAAAATTCGAGCCTCAGCTACCAGAGCAGTTGGGTGGAGAAAACAACGGAGTGGAAAAGTATGAAGTCGTTATTTCTGGGGTATGTGCTAGAAATATATTTGCTTTTTCGTTGTTTGCTTGAAGTTGAGACTTGAAATACGCGTGAAGTCTCTAGGGAGGGGGCAATAATCTGCCTAGGTCTTTTAATGTGGACATTCCAGGAATACGTGATATTGAATCGAGATCTGACAGACGGTGAATTGCTGTAGGCGGGCCCTGCAGGTTTGATGCTTGAGCTGCTCCTAGCTCGCTACGGCCTATCTGACACATCCCTTCTTTGCCTGGATCCCAAACCAAGTTCGCTGAAATCTGGCCAGGCTGATGGTCTTCAACCTCGCACACTTGAAGTGCTGGAGAGCCTGGGACTGGCCAATGAGATCCTCACAGAAGGTTGTCAGATGTGGCAAGTTGCCTTCTGGAATCCTACTGCGGACCCGGAATTGGTAGCTCAAGGGCGTCTAATTGAGCGAACCTCTATTGTGCCTGATATCTGCGTCCCAGCACGCTTCCCTCACGAAGTTACAATCCACCAAGGGCGCATCGAGCGTATCCTTGAGGATAACTTGCTAAAGTACTCGAAACGTGGGGTCCAGAGATCTAGCATGCTGGTTGGTGTTAAGATAGATGAAGAAGGGGATCCGGAATTTCCAGTAATCGCACAAATCGATGTGGATGGTGTACGGCGCACGATCCGTACAAAGCATCTCGTCGGGGCAGATGGCGCACGATCTACGGTTCGCAATTGCATGGGCCTCCAGTTGCAGGGTGACTGGACAGACCATGTTTGGGGAGTTGTTGATTTCGTTGCTGATACAGATTTCCCTGATATTCGAAGACGAACTGCAATTCATTCCCCAGTTGGATCAGTTATGGTCATCCCTCGCGAACGAATTGCAAATGGGGACTATCTGACCCGGCTATATGTGCAGGTTCACGAAGATGTGAACCCGGAGAATGGTCAATATAACGGAAACAGCAATGAGTCGGCAGCGGACGCGAAGACTCGTAGGAACAAAGTTACCCCTGAAAGCATATTGAAGCAGGTTCAATCTGTTTTGAAGCCGTACTACATCAAGCCGAAATACGATGAAGCTGTGGATTGGTGGACAGCTTATCAGATTGGACAACGGGTGGCTGACAAATTTATCGTGAAGGATTCAAAAGGAGTGCAAAGAGTGTTCATCGTCGGAGACGGTAAGCACATGTAACTTCCAAGCGTACTGATTTTGGTTTAACCTGTCAGGCTTTTGACGCATAGCTGACATGTCTTTAGCTTGCCACACCCATAGCCCGAAGGTCGGTAGACTATCCCTGAGCCCAATCTTTGTAGGATATTAAGAGTATTATCCTTTTGGTTGCCTATTTGGTATTCAAAGCACTAATTTTCAACAAGGCGGGACAAGGCATGAACGTTTCAATGATGGATTCCTATAATGTCGCATGGAAATTGGCCTACTATATCAATGGCCTTACTCATGCATCTATAGATAACCTCCCAGACCCAATTCTTGACACCTACCACGAAGAACGACATACCGTCGCCCAACTACTCATTGAGTTTGACAAATCCTTCTCTTCCATGTTTTCCGGGAAGATTGGCGCAGCGAATGTCGCAAGTGGAAATGGTGCCAACGGGTTATCGCACGATCAGTTCCTCGACGTTTTCAATACCGGAAATGGTTTCACTAGTGGTTGCGGTATTGAGTATCCAGAAAACCCCCTCGTCGAGAAGAACTATGCCATGAACCCTATCGAAAATACAGACTATCTGTCAGGGATTCTACGTCCAGGACGGAGACTTCTGAATGTACGGGCGAAGCGCCATGCAGATGGGAGCCCCCGAGATCTTCAGGACGGTACGACTTCTCTCATTTCCATGTCAACCTAATGAGTGTATTCATATATGTCTAAGATTAAGCTGACAATAAGCATTTATTTTATGCGAGCTAACCAACCGGCACCAGACTTCCCTTCCACCGCAAGGTTCCGCATCTTACTTCTGACCTCAAATGACCTCCTTTCTCCAACAGGCATATCCGCCGCCGCCATCAGAAGTATCTCAGGGACACTTCTCACTAATACCTTCCCCGCTTCCATTTTGGAGTTGGTTGTTGTTCATCCGGAGCTTAAATCGGACTTCCTTTGGGAGGAGGTCCCAGGTGAACTGAAGAAGCATGCGGAGATGAGTTTTTATGATGGGAGTGCGTTGCAGGATGTTTATGCTACCTATGGAGTGCCTGCAGATAAGGGGGTTATTGCAGTTGTAAGGCCTGATGGATATGTTGGAGTGCTTGCTGCTTTGGATGACGTTCAACGAGCTGAGAGGTATCTGAGGAGGTGTCTGCGGGCGATTTAAATCATGGTACGATCTACGCCGCCGCACTTGTTTTTCTTAATGTTTTCTTTCCTTTTCCTCTTGTGCAGGCGACACAACCACATTAATTGTTAGTACGAGACCTCCAATTCCCCCTCTCATGGTTCGTGATTTTGCAGTGATAATGGAAGTCTAGACACATCTCCTTTCCTAGTTCAACATCTTCAAAATGATTCATAGAAAGTATGATCTTCTGGTACAAGGTATCTCAATGTCTTATATCATGTTTCCCGGGATTATTTCCAGGGTGTTTTCGGTGTATGTAGCAACAGGAAGAAGCTAGAATCGAATTTCATCAGATCGATTACCAGATCACCCGACTGTCTTCTCATCGCACTAAATATCTTCGCTCCCGAGAGCGAGGTCTATTGCTGGTGAGCTTTTTCTCCGCTGAAGAGTCATTCTCCTATCTTATTGAATTTCCTCACGTCGCATTTTCTCTGCTAATGTTAGCATGTCTAGTTATCTAGCAGCCAAACTAGGGAACAAAAATCGGGTTTCAACTACATGAGATTCACGCCCCAATTCCCAGACTATAGAGAGAAATAACAGTTTTCCATGGACCGGTAGGTCTATTAATATAATTCCCAAAAAAAAAAAAAAAAAAAAAGTTTAATCAGTTCCATTTTGTTTTCCACCTTCTTCTTTCAAAGTCAGATTAACAACCATCAAAACACCATTAGCTGCTTTTCCAAAAATGGCCACTGACAGGCCCATCCAACGGGGATCCTGAGGCCTCGAAGTCGGCCAACCACTATTCATGCCTCCCGGCGACCCTCATGAGGTTCTCCGACTATCGCAGAGCCGATTGCTCAGCCTCTCCAACCGCTATATGCGAGTCGACCGGCAGACGCTACAGCGCCTCTCCCTCTTCTCTGCCATTGTATTCAATTTCAAGGCGCTTTTCATACCCATGTCGGAACTTAGGGATGAACCTGGTGTACCGAAATTGCTTGCGAAGATTCTGAAGGAGGTAAGAAGACTCTTATGGAGTATAAGAATACGTGGCATGTCTAGCATGTTGTATTGCCAGAGTTGGAGAAGTGGTCGGAGGAGCAGGATGAGAAAGGTTTGATGGAGAAGGGTTGGGAGGTACACACTCTGGGAGAAAGTTCACGGTTTAAGGGGTAGGAAGAGAAGTGGCATAGGCAGCAGGGATTTTGAGAGGAGGTTAGGTTTAGAGACGGTACAATCATTCCCAAATTTTGACTTGAACATTCTCTGCGATATGTTTGGGCGGAATTCGTGTTGCTTTTTCCCCTATTGGCATTTTGTTCGTCAAACATAGTAATGATACTGGTCATTGGCTAGAAGCACAAAATCGTTCTGCCTTAATCCATTGGGGGACTAGTCGAGGGCGTTACTTTCCACTGTCCTTCTGGTGTGAAACAATGGTATATAAGACATTTGAATAAACAGATTTCAAAATAATATTTGTTGCTTCCAATCTTGTTTTCCTCCCATAACATAAGCTATGTTCGATTAAATTTATAAGATTCAAAATAGCTAGCATCTCCAATGCCATGTCTCGTAGCTATTTCCGCATGGAGGAAGGGAAATATGTATTGCCGTGGCGATATGCTGGGCATATTAGTGTTTGCGAGGGTTGCAGGGTGAGTACTTCGAGATTCAAATGCGCAAAATAGACGTCCAAACATATAACCTGCAGGCCAAGAGCAGCAGAAATTTCAAAAAATGGAGGTTTGTATCGAAACCCAATTGGCAGGGTGTCGCTATTCAGTCATCATCCCCACGGCTCGACCGTTCACCACTATCCTGGCTTCCGTCTGACTCTTTATCAATGTCTTCAAGTTCCGCAGCCAGCGGGCTGACCCTCTCTTCAAGCATGTCTAAGTCCTCCAACTGAGTCCTTGAAGGTAGTTTCCACAAACTGGTAGCGCACACACGATCCTTTGTAAGCAAGTCGTCGACAAACTGATCCATATACGTGAGCAGAAAGCCATCTTTTGTTCTTCGTTTAAGTTTTCGATAATCTGCCAGTAATGGTTCGAGAGTCGTATATATCTCCGCAGCATCAAAGGTAAGCCGGATATAAAAAGCTGCCAGAGCGCGAAGATATTTGAAATCTCCCACTGCTTTAACGACACCGCTATCCGTGTCGTGGTCTTCCTCCACATTATTTTCGCCGTAAACTCCGTCATGGCCAGTCTCTGGGTCATTGAAATTTAAATACTCTAACACAATCTCCTTCTCTGGTGAAAGTTGGAGCATTTTAAAAGCTAAGCACAAAAACGGCGTCGGCTTTTGTGCTAGACCATATGTTCCACCGATATAGGTCAACTCAACTGCTCGATCGCAGAGAGTGGCGGCATTGAGACCAAAGCATTGTTCTTTCCAGTAGTACGACTCGGTGATACGATCACGAACAGCTTTTTCGAATAATGTGGCCGGGTTGACGCCGCGGATTAGGGGTCCGGAATACCCCCGATTATCGAGGAGGGCGCTGGCATCGGCGCGGTGATGGGACATTCTGGTCCTTGTGGGTGAATTTCTGAGGAACGTAGTATCGTGGACGCTACGAGGTAATAGCACAAAAGTCCATGACTCAGAGTTCCCTGTAGAGTACTTGTGGACGCTGAATCGCAAGCCGAAGTCCGCCTGTTGATTGAAGTGGAATTTAATTTTTTTGGACGAGGTTGTTGAGCTTTTTTATCACGTGGTTTAGAGTTGTGGAGGAATTAAGGTCGAGGCTTTTCGATAAGGTTGCCCCTCACAACAGGAAGAATGTAAACATTGTATCAATCCGCATCGTTTTTAATGATGTCGTATCGCTTGATAGTTGAACACCGCAACACGCAGCATGACAGATTATATCAAACGGTGAACTCATTGGCGTATCATTTTGAAAAAAAAAAAAAAAAAAAACAACCCTTTTGTTAGGAATATCTCCTCCAACCAATATCCATCGAACGAATGATTCATGGCCAGCTTGACAAGCAGTCGAGATTCCTATTTCCTTCACAAACCCATCCCAAAACAGCCAGCAACTGAACTATGGTGCTCATAGCATCTTCGACTATCTCTGTTATAATATCGTCGTCTGTCATTAGCCTATTTACAGCTCTTCTTTTCCTATCAGGTTACGTGCTCCAGCAACAAACTGTTCGTCACATACAAGCTTCCATTAGTCCTGATTCCGCATACCATCTCGCAGGGCGACAATATGCCTTGTCAGGTGGCTCCCCCGCAGCCGCCTATGTTATTGTCAACCGAGGCAAAGAAGCATTCTCGACCCCTGATGCTGTTCTAGCCGATGATAGCAGAGGACGAGGAGACGGAGAAGGTGAAGAGATGGGGGAGACATCTCGGAACGAACAGGGTGGTAAATATGGGCAGAGATATAGCCACACTTATGTCCAAATTATTTCAAAACCAAGCGTGTCATGTATCTGCTCGAGCCTTCTATTCTTCAAAATCCTGTCATCGAACAGCGACATTGAAACGGACAAAGTGTTCCTATATCCGCAATCCTGGGACCTACACTCGCCATCTAGAGGAATTTCAAATGCGATAAGTCTCCTCCGACAATATCAGAACAAATATGATATAATAATGCACGCCATTAATACGTCAGATCCCAACTACCGCTCCCCATCAAATACAAGGCTGCTCAGCAGAGCCTCACATAAATTAACCCATTATAAAAAGATTTTCTACATCCGTTCCCCAGGCATGCTTCTCGACTCCTCGAAGCTCAACCAATTATTCCTCTCCCCACCACCAACGCTCTCATCCTCGTCATTCTCCTCGTCCTCACCCTTTTCTTCCTGGAAAAAGAAAAGAAAATCTACAGACAATTCGCAGAGTGATCAGTGGGTTCCAACTCGCTTATCAACCGTGAACGCGGACCTCCCGTACGCGTTTCTCGTTACAACGGATCATTCTTCGTCAGGCGGTGTTTCTATTCGATCTCATGTACCAATTCCTTCAGTGAAACAGTCCTTGATCGTTCCGGCGGTACCAAAATTTGCTGTCGAGAAAGGCACAGAGCTACATCCTGCCTATGTGTTTTTTGAAAAAGATAGAGATCGGTCGCGGGAAATGGAAACTGCGTATTATCAACAATGGAAGAAAGATATTGAAGACATTTGCCAGGGTATTGATGTTAATGACTGATTTGATTTTTGCGAACAAACTGAATTTTGGGTAAGCTTGTGGAAGTTTTTCAGGTGATAAATACTTGCATTTTACTCTTTATATATATGCCCATGTTTGAATTCTTTAATTGGGAGTATGGATACGTATCTTTTGAATGTAATTAATACACCTTATGATAAATGATATGTTATTGCAAATGTCATGTCATTTCGTTATAACGTGCTTAAGATTTAACGTACACTTGAATATTTACAACTTTCCTAGGGTGGCATCGACGTCAGCTTAACCTGGAGTTATGAATTTCAGAATCACCAAAGCATTCTTCGACTTTTTGTTGAGCCTGTTGCGTAATTATGAATGACATCGAATGAGAAGAATTCCTTATGTTTCAGTTATACTCGTTTGAATTATGTCTCGATAGACGATAGACACAACAACCAACAGAATACATCAGTCATTATCACACCTGACATAATTCCTAAATCAACTCCACCACTGACTCAAACGAAGGGACTCTGCTGAAACATGCATAGCGAATGACAGTGCCCGCGCCATACCCACTTGCAAGAAAGCAAGAGATTATTTCCCGACAATATCCCCAAGACACAGTAAAGTCACCTTATAGAAACAATTAGACAACGGATAGAACGTTAATGAAGTAATTGGGTATATAAATAATAAAAGTACACAAAACGCTAAAAAGACACTGAATAAGCATACATGGAAATTTGGAGCGGCCCTTGTGAAAACGGATCGAGGTTCTAGGCAATATAAAGCTTTAGCAGGTGTTGCACAAAATGCAAAATTAGAGTTTCCAGGAAAAAATGAAAGTTAGAGAACGCCTATCTCGTAACCAAGCAATACTTCGGTATTGGTACCTTCCCAGCCTCGGTTGCCGCCAGTAGATATCAAATATCTGCATGCCGTATCCATGTATAATTGTGAGACAACGCCAGTGCGATGACCAGGAATAATGAGAAAGGGCACCGTTGAACGCACCGACGAATGGTCGTCCTTGAGGTCATAGAGCCGTAGGATATCATATGAAGCGCTATTAGACGTGGTTAGTAAGTAAAACCAAGTTTGTGACGAATGGCCTGCTAAACCAGCGAGATAATGAAGTGCGTAGCAAAGTCATGAAGACGCACCAGATTAAGTGTCTACCGTTAGGCATCGCTTTGACCGCGGAGACTGGACCGCTACCCTGAGGAAATTTAAATGTCCGCTCAGCGGTGCGGAGGCCTTTGTGGAGGCTAAATTCTTCCACAGTCCCGTTACGTCGTCCGGCATAGATATAGTTGCCGTCTGGCGACCAACAAGCGTTCATACACCATGGTGGGGCATTTCGAGAAACGATTTTAGCTATTGGGTTGGGTTGCCGTCGATCCCAGACTCGTATTGTCCCGTCGATAGAAGCAGAGAAAAAGGTCGTATCAGAGGTTACATCTTGGATTTCAGTTTGGGAAGCGTCGGATTTATCTTGGATTTGTGTGGCACGTTCTAGATCTTCTACGTGGGGTGCCCCATTCACTAAGAATTCCGAAGGCGTACCATTGGGTACGTTTCCAGTCACCGCAGCCAAAGATGAGCCTGCAAGGTCTCCCTTTTCTGATCCCGTGTCAGTTGTATGTTGGCTACTCGAGCCACCGTTTGGCTGGGCAGCTGGAACATCTAGATCGCCTGACTTATCGTCTTCAGGTTGCTGAATGCCATTTGCAAGAGCCTGGGAAAATTCGTCATCTTCATCTATCGCAAAAGCACCACCGGACGGCGCCTCTGCTTCACCTCCCTCTCCATCTCCAAAAAGTGAACCGTCGGTGCCAAAAAGTGAATCTGCAGGTGATCCAGCTGGTTGCTCTGCGTTAGAACCAGATTCAACTTTATTTGCTCCATTTTCCCCATTTTGAAAGGCAAAGCTGGATGTGCCATTTGCTCGATTGTTTGATGAGAATGTCCCATTTGTCAATGACAGCTCTCCACTTTCTTGTGGTACAGGTATATTGGATTCCGGCCGTATTTCAATGGACGATATCTGTCCTGCGCTAGATCCAAAAGTTCGCCTTGGCTGTCCAATATTCAAGTCCCAGTCATGGACCCTTTTATCCCAACTTCCTGAGATGAGAGACTTTTCGTCTGATGTGAGACATAGTACCGACACCGCTGACGTATGCTGTTGGAGAAGCGCAATTTCCTTCCCCTCGTCGTGGCGAACGGACTGCAGTCTAATGCTCCCCGATTCAAGGCCAGAGAGTAGCCAAAGTCCTTGGCTATGAGATGCCAGGGAATAAACGTGTGATAGTGCGTTTCCATCCATATTTTCCCAGTATGTCATCAAAACCCCCGCCTTCACCACGCTATCCACGAACGGATGTCTTTGTGCAACCGTCAGCATCAACTTGCTGTTGATAGAATCAACCCAATTAAATTTACGAACGTATCCGTCTGAACCGCCGCTAAATACCCATCTCATGTCAGCTGTTGCGGTTACTGCGTTAATCGAAGTACTATGCGGAGCTGCTGTGGTGGGAACAATATCATATGTAGATGCCGTAAGCGCCTCTGGGCGCACTATCGGACGGAGTGAACCCGACTGGTCGGGAACTCCGTTGGTAGGAGAAGGTGAGGTCAGAAGGGCTTCAGGATTGGGTTGGGTTATTGTTGCCGCATTGCCGTCTGATGCAATGCTAGAATTGGACGGGCTTTCGGGGTCTGGCTCCGGATCGACGTCCTCGATATCCCCCATGGTATCATCCATGTCGTTATCGGAGCTACCATCTTGAGAGCCTAAAATAAGACAATGTTAGATGTGGAAATGTCATATTCCCAGGCGCACGGAAATAAATTCCCTACCTGCCATGTAGCGATCAGCATCGTCATCGCCGCCAATCGACGGCATCTTTAATTATTTATTCCCCAGCCAATTCTATACCAGCAGAAGGCTAGCTTGCCGTATCTGATTGATAGGGGTAAAATAGCCGTCACTAGTAGAAAGCAGAAAGAATAAGGTCACAGCATCAACTGAATGAATGGTAGTGAGGGGCCCATTAACATGCTAGAAAAAAAGGGAAACTTGAAGATATGTTAGAAATAGCAGATGTATAATCATCAAACCAAAAATGATAATGATGACATAGAAACAGAATATTGAGATGACTAAGCTATTGTCGGAACAACCCTTTTCCAGCATTCCAATCAACGTCTCTTCCTTCAACGGTGCTTCAAAGGTCCACCGAATTGCATTGTGTATCATGAGCATGTCCCAGAGAGTACGAGCCATATTCTAGTTTGTTGGTGCGCCAGGGCCACGGGCTATGAGAGCAACCATGGGACGTGGTTTTTCAGAGCTGCAGGCAAACCAGTGCATGTCCGCTAGGTGTGGGATACGTCCTTCAGTTGGACGTTGTCATATTTGTCAAACGTGGTTCGCCGTCCGTAAAATATCCATTTACTACCGAGCTCTCATTAGATTTTCGGAGTTTCCGTTTGTTCTGATTTGGTACCGTGCCCAGTTTGCGGAATTTCCGACGTCCATTTTCAAACGGACACAAAGCAAGGACACAAAGGTTTCCCACTCAATGGAATGTATTTCCAGAGCTCTTCACTGTATACGAACCACCGTATACATCCTAGGTATAAGGACAAGCAGTTCTGCCGAGGTCTCTTAGTATACTTTTGGCTCAGGTGTTTCTAAGGGGGTCACATTTTTTCAGTTTCCACATTTCTTTAGAAGCTCTTTTACAGAATTTCCGATTTCATGAACAGCCTCGGGGAGTAAGCAAATACGTTGGCAAAGCTTCTTACGCGATATGAAATGCATGGCATATGCTGTTTCACGACCCTCAAGGAGCACTTCATCAAGAAAACAAGAAAACCCGATTGCTCTCATTACTCATTTTTCATTGGATATACCCGTATAAATATCCAACTGCTGAGCTCTTCATTGTGCAAATGTAGTCGCCCATTTTTCAGATGGACACAAATTCCCTCCTGAATTTCTCCCTCTTCAACTGCATTGGCCCGCGTCAATTTTCATCTCATGTCCCTCTGTCCCTTGGGTTGGTAGCCCATATTCTATTCAGATTCAAACTACCCATTTACACTCCCTCAATTTTGATACCATTTACCTTGCCTCTACTTGCTTGGTTCATATATATACTCCGTCTATTTTTAGCGGATATGAAACATTGCGAGTGCTTTGCAGTGGTCTTTCACTTTTTGTAACAGATACATACCAGATATTCTTCCATGGCTACCGCAGCCTGAATTCCTGGCTGACTACTGTTCCTTGATATTACCTTTATCCCACCAAATCTACATGGATTGAAGAGGACCAATGGAGAGAAAACTTCGAACTCTTTTTTCATCTAAAAATGGGAAAGCTAAATCCGAACAGTTATCTCTGTGTTGGAAGATTCTGCATTTCATTATTTTCATTCAAGAAGCGTATGGGTGCAGGGTGATGGGAAACCGCAATAACATCCCATTGGGCACTTATTGTATACGTGTTATTTTTCTTCGTTTCCTATCCAACAGTTCAAAGAGCCAATTCACAACCCGCCTGTGGGGCTCCTCGAATCCCAAACAAAGAGCTAGTCTTTCGTCCCCTTCTGTTCTGTTGTTTTGATGCCTTTTCGCACTACCATTTCCCCACTTTTTTAAACTGTTTTTGGTCATACTCTCCATTCCCTAAAGCTCTCCTGGTAAGGCATTGCATCTTCACTCATGAGCTCGTGAGAGCCTTTTAAGTGTGAGTTGCTCGCAGGAGCAGTATTCATCGTTGCTTTTGTGCTTGATCGGCTTTTTCTTCTCATTCAGTCCAACCCACACCTTGGGAATCCACTGCTTTCGTTACATGTAGACATACATTGTAACTTTGATAGTAAACGAGTGGAAATTCTTGTCTATTGAAATCAATCTCCGCTTCTTATCTACGCCTTAGCAATTGGTTAATTCCCCTAATTACGACTGACCATTCTCTATATTCAAGCAGGTATGAAGGACAGGCATTTAAACTCTACCTGTTTGCCTGGGCCCGGCATGTTTTTAAATACGGACATACGGAAGTATGTTCAAGAGATCAGACGTGCCGCAGCAGGAGTTTCTTGGACAGCAAAACCAGAACTTCCCACAGCGAATGAAATTCTCGGGATTGACGAGAACAATGGATGTGCCGATGGAAGCGTCAGTTTGCTGGCAAACAAAGTCCAAGGCTCATGGCCATCAACTGAGATATACTTGCGAACACATTACGGTCTCCTTAGAGAGGATGCTGTCGCTCCACTGAGGGATGCCGTGGCCTATGTGAAGGAAGATCCACGCATGAAGGATTCCACAGATGTTTGTATCTATGAAAAGGTAATCCTCCTAAAATATTATGTTTACAAACATACGGCATTCTATACTGATGTATACGCATCTATCAGGTATACATTGTAGGATTAACTTGTGCAGATGCGGGAGTGGCTGTGAAACTTCAGTTCTCGACAGCTCGCGCGGGAAAGAATATCGTCTGGGAATACTCTCCCAGGCTAACCACGGGCAACATTGTCGCACTTACCCCGGCAAATGACATGTTCAAATCCAAGTGTATTGTCGCTGTCGTTGCTGCTAGGCCTCTGGAAGAACTAAAAAAAAATCCTTCCGAAATAGATATATTCTACGCACAAGCTGATGAGGCGGAGTTTGATCCACAGAAGGAGTTTGTTATGGTAGAAGCAAGGAGCGGCTATTACGAAGCAGCCCGACATACCTTGGCTGCACTACAAAAAATGGCGAGAGACGGGTAAGTCAATTCTTTCATTTCTGTGATTATAGGTGTGATGTATCTAGTGACATTTTAAAAAGAAGTTTTCCATTTTCAGAATATTTGTGTGGGCTTCAGCCTACAATAGATCCTCCAGAGTACATCAAGTTGAATCCTTTTGTCGATGTGTCATCTGCAATGACCGAAGGAGATTGTGCGAAAATAGACGTCCTCAGCAGCTGGCCACCGCCGCCCAAATCTTTGGATTCGTCTCAATGGGCTGCACTACGTCAAATTCTCACAAAAGAGCTGGCTATAATACAGGGTCCGCCCGGGACTGGTAAAACCCATGTCTCTACCATTGCATTGAAATCGCTACTATCAACACTTCCATGTACCGATCCTCCAATTATCATCGCAGCTCAAACGAATCACGCGCTTGACCAGTTACTTCGTCATGTTTCACAGTTTGAAGACAATTACGTGCGAATTGGCGGAAGAAGCACGGACGTGGATATCAAGAAGCGGACGATATTTGAGTTACGGAAAACCATTTCTCTTCCAGTGATTCCAGGTGGATTATCCGGACCCTCTAGAAAGCATATACGGAGACTTTCAGAAGATATCTTAGAGCTTCTAGCACCATTTTCTCCGGAAAATTCTTGGTCGCCATTGCCTGCGTCAGTGTTTCTCAAACTGAACCTCATTAACCAATCGCAGTACGATTCTTTAGTGAGTGGTGCCGAGGGTTGGGTTCACGCAGGCGACCAATTAGAACCTCTCGCTGCCTGGCTTGGAGACAGCAAAGTTAAGTTTGAAGTTGTATACAAAGAGAACAATTTTGGTTTTATTGAAGATGAAATCGACCTTGAATATGAGCAGCTTAAGGAACTCGAGCTTGAACAGGGCCTTAATGAGGAAGACTCAGAAAGCCTGAGAGGACCTTATATGTCACTGGGGGAGCGGTTTAAGGGGAGGGGACACCTTCCAACACATGCTTTGTCGTGTGGTCGACAAGTTTTAGAGCATGAGGATCTCTGGAAAATTCCTCCGACTGCCCGTGGTGGCATCTATTCAGCGTTGCAGGCAATGGCGAAAAAGGCCATTCTAGACTCCCTTCGGTCTTTGGTGAAGAGGTACAATCATACTGCCCGAAACCTCCAAACTGGGAGATGGGAACAGAACTGCAGCATACTCCAATCTGCGAGGGTGATTGGCATGACAACAACAGGCCTCAGCAAATATCGCGCACTTATTTCAAGCATTAAGCCAAAGATAATCCTGGTTGAAGAGGCAGCTGAAGTAATAGAAGCTCCAATTGCTGCCGCCTGTATAAAATCTTTGGAGCATTTGATTCTAGTTGGTGACCACAAACAGCTTCAGGGAAGTTGTGCTGTCAAAGAGCTAGAAGATGAGCCGTTCTTCCTCAAAATCTCACTGTTCGAACGCCTTGTTCATAATGGGGTTGAATTCAAATCTTTAACCAAACAGCGCCGAATGCCCGCTGAGATCCGAAGAGTTCTTGCCCCGATATATGATAATCTAGATGATCACCCGTCTGTGAATGATAAACCGGAAGTTCCTGGCATGGGTGGCATCAATTCGTTCTTTTACTGCCATGGATGGCCCGAATCTTCCGATAGCCTGCTCTCCAAATATAACTACAACGAGGCACAGATGATTGTTGGCTTTTTCCTCTATCTCCACCTCAACAAAGTCCCGGTGGAGGACATCACAATATTAACCTTCTACAACGGGCAACGAAAGAAAATTCTTAAAGGCTTGAGAGACAATCCTTTGCTCCAGGGGCAATATCTCAAAGTATCCACAGTAGACTCGTATCAGGGGGAAGAAAACGAGATTGTCATTTTGTCACTGGTTAGGAGCAACGAGAATACTGGAAACGTCGGCTTTCTTTCTATTGAAAACAGAGTGTGCGTGGCGCTATCTCGCGCAAAACGGGGATTTTATATTTTCGGAAACGCTGAGTTCCTGGCCCTAGCGAGCCCACTGTGGTGGGAAGTTGTTCAGATCGTCAGTTGTGGCCCCAAGAGGATTGGATACCATGTTCCCCTGACCTGTGACAATCACCAAACCAGAACCTATCTCAAGGAGCCAGGAGAATGGTCATCGACGGACGGAGGTTGCTCACTGAAGTGTGGGCAAAAACTGACATGCGGCCATAACTGCCCTCTTTTCTGTCATGTGTAAGTCGGCGCTGAAGCTCTGTCTCCAACTAGGGTCTATTAACGTATTTTATTTTGCAGCATACCGCATTCGCAAGTTAAATGTCTACAATCATGCCTTCAGCATCTTCCATGCGGGCATCCATGTGTCGGAATTTGTCAACTTCCTTGTAAATGCCAGTATGATGATTGTGCTTTGCCGAACATGGGTTTTGCGGGGAAGGAAAATGCGCAACCTACGTCAAACACCCATGCCCCTCTAGCTGGTGGCCGTACCCGTTCTCGTATCCGCACTCAAAGCCCTAGAGAACAGGCCAACGTCCTCCAGGACTATAATGAGCATGTCAACGGCGGTGCCGAAAAGGACGACACACAACTTGCTTCAGAGACAGAGCTACTCGAGATAAGAGAGCATGTCAATGAGAGAGCGCGTCCTGACTTGCTTTTGGACGGTGTCGACGATAATAACTACCGTATTTCGCTGGGGGATCCATTCGGGTCGCCTTCGGCAGTGGAACCCAGGTTAAGGACTCACAATCACCACAACCTATCTGAGAAAAATTAGCACTCTGCTGTCAACCGTTTTAGACAGATTAGTGTTTAAGCAATTGCTTTGGTCTTGTCCATAGCAGCAGTATGACCCTTGCTGTATTATGGCTCTTGGAGTTTGAAACCAGAAATGTGATCGACATATTGATACTCAAGGCCAAGGGTAGAGAGATGTCATAGCTCGGCAGTGAAGAAGGCGCAGAGCGAGTGCACTTCAATCAGTTGGTAAGCATTTGGTCAAGATGAGAGTACATGAATGTTACAAAAGACCACAGGATCTTCTCGTGATGAAGCGACACGCTGGGACGCAAACTTGACAATGAAAATATTTGCTAAAACTGGCTTGAGCTGCGTTCCCTAACCAAGTGATGGGTCAAGGGTTTGCTCAGAGTATAGATGAAGTCAACTAAAAATATGCATATAGACAAGCATCAAGTGTTGCATTTCTGCATAATAGCTTTAGACTATATGCTCGCAGACACCGAACGTAGGTCTGTTGGTGTAAGGAGAGGGAATGATGGTAGGGTGTTAAAATTTTGCAAAGTTATAGAAGAGCCGGGTGGGAACAACGTCCACTCCACTCTTCAGCTCTGACGCACTTGAACACTTTTGCGCAGTAATAGCGGGATATCTGGATGAATGAATTAGGTGGCAAATGAAGGACCAAGACCAGTCAAGCGGACCAACCAGCACCGCAGAATTTTGTGGACATATCACGGCTGTTTAAATCATCCATATTGTATCCGCTCTAACAAACGACTTAACCCTCCTTTGGTTTCAAGGGTCATGGCCTTGGGAGCAGGTTTTCAAGTTATTTGCAGCGCGCCCAGGCAGCGTCGTCCTTGGACTCCATGTAGTTAATTATATAAATACCTTTTCTTGCCTTCCTCTTTACGTGACCAAGGCCCACAACGCCGAGAAGGGTCGTTGGTCAGATCTATCACAACGCTCCCTAAGTGATTATGCAGTACGCTCTTCTCCGTAACCTTTTTGTCTTTTGAAGGAGGGCGCCTCGTCCAGGCCGATAACGATTTCGGGATCCGGGGAGTCCAGATCAGCGGCATTGTCATCATCATCATCAGAGAAAAGACTGCGGACCGGGTCTTCCTCGCTGTCAGATGTGTCACCACCACAACTCTTCACCCTCTCCCCGCCTCCAGCCTGGTTCGGTTGCTGGTCCTCGTCCGCAGTGTAGAGGGGCGTTGTCCACGAGCTCTGAGAAGGCTGAAGGGCCATAGTGCACTAATAATAATAACAACAATAATAATAATAATAATAATATGCTGTGAAGTTTTTTCAACTCCGCTCACAGGATTCAGGGGTAGTGAATGGCAACGAATAATGATATTCTAAGCAGCCCATTTAAGCTCCAAATAACAGGGGGAGCGGGAGGGAGAAAAAATGTTTTCAAAAAGCTCAAAAGTGCCCGTAGGAATAACAATAGCAATGATCAAAGCGAATACCAAGTACCGTTCACACTAGATTGAAAAGGAACGGAAAATGCAAACTTTCTCTTTGCTCTCTGTTTCAACCTATCCCGCATATGTATTTAACAATGGGAGGGAGAGGGCAAAAATTAAAAAAAAAAAAAAAAAAATTATTATTACAATAATCCCATTGGGGGAGAGAGTGTAAAATAAACCTGCTATCTATAATTACAACAATGTACAATAACACCAGGACCAGCAGTTTGTTGCCTATCAACTGAGAATCCAAGAGAAGAAAACAACCAAGAAGAAAGAAAGAAATCAGAGAGAAAATTCCTTACAAAAGTCTCACTTATTTTACTCATCATCCACCAACCGCTTCGTTTCCCACGCCCTCCGCGCCCCATCCATTAACGCCTCAAAATTCCCACTATTCTCACACATCGCTCGGAAACTACCACCACGCGTATTAATAAGCTGCCACGGCCCACCATACTCCACCACCTCCCCGTGATCCAGCACAAGCACCTTATCGTAGTCGATGATAGTCTGCAGCCTGTGTGCGATGGTGAGGATGGTGTTCCCTTTCAGCTCGCGCAGGGTATCCTGGATCTTGGCATCCGTTGCATAATCTATCGATGCGGTGGCTTCGTCCATCACGAGGACTTTTGGGGATTTTAGCAGGGCGCGGGCAAGGCAGAGGAGTTGGCGTTGGCCCTGGGAGAGGTTTGAGCCGGATTCGGTGATGGGGGAGTTGATGTTTAGGAAGATGTTTTTGTTGTCCCGGAAGTGGCGGGGGTCATTGTCATTGTTGCTGTCACTGTCGCTGTCGCGGTTGTTGGTGTCTAGAGCAGTGGTGGAGTGGGTTATGGGTGTTGAGGAACCGGAGGCAGCGGTAGATGTTGAGTTACCGATCAGGTGAACTCGACGGAGAGCTGTGAAAATCTCTTCATCGGCTAACAGGTCGAACGGATCGAGGTTGCTGCGAATCGTCCCGGTAAAAAGCGTAGGGTCCTGGGGGACAATGGTAACTGCTTCTCGGAGATCCTTGAGGCCAATTAGGCCAATGTCGACATTGTCCAGGACAATCCTGCCACTTTCTGGCTCAAGGCCACGGAACAGAGCGAGGGCAAGCGAGCTCTTGCCCGCACCGGTTCTGCCCACAATCCCAACCCTTTCACCAGGCTGCACTGAGAACGTCACATGCTTCAGCACAGGCTCCAGGTCAAGACGGTAGCGGGTGGAGTAATTTTCAAACCGCAGCGCACCGTCGGTTGGCCAGTTGTTCGGCGGTCGACAGCCGGGTATAACAGCTTGAGCTTCTTGTTCGACCTCCATATACTCCTCTATGCGTTCGACGGAGTTCATGTTCTGCTGGTTCTGGGAGTAAAGTCGAACGAGCCAGAGCACGTTCTCTGTGAACGTAACTGCGTACGTCAGGGCTAAACCAGCGGTTCCAGCATCGATGTTCCCAACGCTCATGATAATAAATGACGCAGTGAAGAATGATACTAGGGCACCAGCTATATCAACGCGGAACGCAAGCCACCGATTGCTCGCCCATAGATACAAGTAAGGGCGATTGTACATGTTGATCAAGGCATGGTTGTCACTGATGAAACGTGCACCATCTCCATATGCACGAATTGTAACGATACCCGTCAAGGTCTCTCCAAATTGCTGATACAGCGGGCTCCTCTGGATAGATTCCAACCTTTTCAGATCGCGGGACGCATTAAGGTATATAGCACCCAGCGCAAAATAAATAGCCGTAATGAAAATAGCAGCAATCAAAAACTTGGGTGTAATAACGGAAATAAGAATAACGATGAGGATGACTGAGGCTAAACTGTGCAGCATTCCTATTGCAGTAGCTGCAACTTCCTGGTCAACAGCTTCGATATCCTTGGAGAATCGATTCATCAACCGGCCCAGAGGTGTGGAGTCAAAGAACTTAAACTTCGCATGGGTCACGGCTTTGAGTAATGCCTTGTGGATCCGCCACGACGCATGCAGCGATCCGCCAAACAGAACCATTTCCCTCAACAGAGTTATGAAGATGTAACCAAACGCTAGGAGAGCATATATACCTAGGTAATACCACGGATTTAAGTCATCATTAACAGAACCGTCCTTGTCGATATAACTGTAGTATATCTCTGGCGCTCTCCACGAAAACGGTCTTGGAATATTTGCTGTCACCATTGTTGGAAGTCTGAGGTTTGCTAGAGCAGCACTGCGCCCTGGATCATCCGCAGAGACTTTATCTACTGGGTATGCATTTGCCCATTCCCTAATCCACAGATTGGTGGCAAGTGAGCCGATCTGCTGAGCACCAAAAGCTACAAGGGCCACAACCCAAAAATACCACGGGCCCATGGCGCGAAGATACATAGCGATTGTTGAGTACTTGACGCTGCCCACAATCTTTTCCTCCCCGAACAGAGAAGCAATTTTCTGCTCTTTTTTATTATTGTCCTTTACAGCGGCCCCATTGACATTTCCATTAATATTGCCGTTGTTAGCTGCATCGGCCGCGTCCGCTTGATTATGCAGCCATTCAGGCTCTTCCCTCTCGGAGCTCGAGGGAGAATTCGCTAGCGTTCTCGACGAAGGAGATGTAGGCCGCGAATTAAGGATTTCTTCCCCGAGAATACCAGCAGCAACGACCTCCTGCGGTGTACCCCGTCCAGAAATTCTGCCATTATCCAGAACAACAACGTACTCAGCTTGAGGAACGGCTAGGGATACATTATGCGTGACAAGGATGCATGTGCGATTCTCCATCAATGGGCCCATAATCGCCTCCTTGAAAATGTGTTTGGCGGTATGCGAATCGACCGCGCTAAGACAGTCATCCAAGAGCAGATGTCGGGCCTTACTGTATATGCCCCGTGCCAGCGATATCCGCTGCTTCTGTCCTCCAGAAAGACTTATGCCCTTCTCACCCACGAGGGTTTGATCACCCGCATCCAATATTTCCAAATCTCTCTGTAAGCCACAAGCTTTAATTACAGCCTCATACCGATATTTGTCAAAAGGAGATGCAAACAAGATATTTTCTTTGATAGTCGCGTTAACCAACCATGCTTCTTGCGCACAGTACGCAACGCTCTCGGTAAGTCCCGTAGCCGGGTCCACACACAAATCGGCTCGATCACTCGTTCCACCAGGAAGAAACACCGATCCCTCAAGAAGTATCATCTCCCCCAACAGCGCCATCAGCATGGACGTTTTACCGGAACCTGTTGGACCGGCGATGACGTTAACCCGGCCGATGCGGAATGACACGTTCATGTTGATGAGGCGGAATGACTCTGTTATTTCGTGGTCGCCTTGAGATGGACCTCCCGTGGTCTTCGTAGGTAAAGAACCCCAGGAAAGTGTCGCGTTTTCAAGAGCAATTTTGGGCGGAGCGTCCGAGTGCTCGTCCGGTCGTAACTGGGAATACTTTTCCGTTTCTTCCTCGTTCAAGAATATCTCCACGCGGTCGATGGAGGCCTTGGATTCCTGGACGTGAGCGATCATGTCTGCCAGTTGATCCAAGGGTATGCGCAGGAGCGAAAATGTGGATAGGGCAGGGAATGCAACTGAAGGAACTAGCTTCTTGCCCTCCACAACAGTGTAGAGGAAGAAGGAAATCAGGGTGATCAGAGCTGGTGTTCCGTACCAAAAAGTGGCAGCGAATGCCCACAGGATATACCGCCGACGGAGATTCTTCAGCTCTGCTCTACGCTTTTCATTGACGATGTCCTCAAATCGCTGTTCCCAGGCGAAATACTTGATGATACGGATGTTTTGGAGAACCTCGTTGGTCGAGTGGATGCGAGCATCGGTTCCGGCAAGGATTTCGTGTTGAAGGGCTCTGAACCGCGATGCAATGTACATATTCAGAGGTAACATAAGAACCATCACAACAATGCCGGCCAGTGAGCTAAATCCTAGAATCTTGTATAAAATATAGATGGCAATAATGGTTTGCACTGGGAAACTGGCCCAGAGGTAATGTAAGTAGGCGCATACTTCACTAACTTTGAACGAATCAATTGCCATCAGATTGATGATTTTGCCAATATTGGCCTGTGTATCTGGCTCCTTGAGATTCTGCTCCTCATTGGTTTCCGGGGCGGGATCAGTTTGTTGTTTATTCCAGGACGACGAAAGCTTTTTCTTCTTTTTCGATTGTTTCTTGTTTTTGGCATCATGTTTGGAGACCTTGGCAATTGAACCGGCTTTCCGTCGCAACGCTTTGGCGTATAGCTCACCAATAATGATGGCACGCAACTTGACGCTCAATTTTCGCCCCATCCAGAGCGCTTGACCATCCGCAATACCCTGCGTAGCAGCACAACAAAACAGGAGGATAACATATAACCAAGCAGTATTCTTGGATGTGCTCTTGGGATCCTGAAGGTATTCTAAAATAAGTTTGAGCAACCAAGTTGGGACAAAGGAAAAGAAACCTGAGAAGATAGTCCATGCTCCCTGTAGGAGAAGCGTGCGATCAAAATATCGCAACAGCCTCCATGCCAGAGCGGAAGTCCTGCGAGTTTGGCGGAAATCTGCAAGAACCGCCGCAGCCTGGTAACTTGGGAGAAGATTCCAGACATCCGACATCTCCAGAGACTTTCCGTAGCCTTTCCAAACTAGTGGGTCCAACCATGTAAACGAAGCCAGTGATAACAGGCTGGCAAATTGTTCCCGGGGTGGGATAAGGCCTTCTTCATGTTGAACAAGGATGGTTTCGTTTCCCTTGCGGGTGGTGACGACTAGGAGGAGAAGGATGGAGGAGAGCGCAAAATCCATGATGGTCAAAATGCGTATGCAATGCGGTGGCGGATGGATTATGGCAGACCGAAAGATCATGACGCTACATAGCCAATTGAAGCCATAGAGTGCAGCTGTGTGGTTCCATAATTTGGGCAGCGTACGGCGTTCAGACATTGAAAAAAGAACTCTGGCAGCCACCAGGAGGAACAGATATGTCCATGAAAGGAGCCTCGCAATGTCCGGAGTCGTTTCGTCCGCGGCCCTCGAAGGTGTGGCAAGACCCAGTATGGAAATGGCCAGTTCGCCCAGAATCGCAGCAATCTCCAATACTGTTACAACGGTCTGTCCCCGGGGTTTGTCTTCCTCAACGGTGACATCTGCAGTGCGACTTAAGACCTTATGCAGCATTAAATCGCTGTCCACATCTCCTCCCTCACCTTCCTCTTCATACTCTTCAGCTTCAGATTCGTCTTCTACATTGCTGTGCTCGACCACGTCGGAAGGGATAGGTCTGTAGCGGTGATGGCGCCAAGGGATATGAATATTATAGCAGAAGATATGGATAATTATCAATAACAGCGAGAAACCGCACGCCGTAAGTGGGAATATTAACCTTAGAAACCTGTGTGAAGATGTAACAGGGCATCAGTAGGAGATTGACAACTGCAAACGTGGAATATCTCTCTGGTGGAACTCACTTTTGCTGAAAACACGGAGTCAGGTCATCAACGACCCAGGCGGGACCCTCACAATCCTGTCGCATGGTTGATCTTGAAGCTAAACTGCAAAAAGAACAGAAGAACGAGGACAGGAAATGTTAAAAGAAGAAAATATATGCCCCCGGCGGAGTGGAGAAAAATTAAATAAAACCCAACCCTCCCCCCATCCCCGGGCAAGCAGCAAAGTGGGTCCGGAGACACACAACTTAATGAGTAATGTGGTGCCTTTTTGGAATAGGAAAACAAAATTTCGTATCAGAGAATGGTGAGCTGTAGACAAGACGACGTTGCAGACGATAAACCAGCAGCTCCCGAAAAACGAATCCCCCAAATTAACATGGCACAGAACCGAGAGATATGATTAGATTACACAGAGAGAGAGCTAGCTGCATGAGGTAGTTAAGGAAGCATTGCCGGATAGAAGTTGGATGAGAGACAGAGACAGAATACAGAGCTTCAACTTTGGTGAAAAGGTAGAAGGTGGGATTTTGCAGGTTTATGTCGGTTGGGGGTTGAGTGTTGAGTTGGGAGAATGTGTTCCCAAGGTCCGAGTCGCAAAGTGAAGAAGTTGTTGTTCGGCTAACTTGTTTGAAGAGGAGCCGCTTAGCTGACCCACAGCTGAGTTAACTGGACTTGAACTAGTTGAACTAACTAGTCAGTACATAGTTATTAGATACAATTGCGGTTCGTAAAATAACCCCACATATTATTGCGGACACTATGATGTCTACACTCTACACTAACTACGTCTACACTACTGCACGATATGCCGGTGCCCGCCATGAGGCATCCCACCGCTTTTTTCAGAAACAGCTGTGGAGGAGACAACATGCACCCGGAGGTCCGCATATGGCCTGGATCCTCTGCTTGACAAGAAGTAATATTTCTCCAAAGGACCAGAGGATGCAGTCACAGAGCTCGTGTTTATTCGGTTTGAAGATCATTCCAGTCCGCAACTCAACGCCGGCGGATTTGAGGCCAAATAAACGAGATGAGGAAAGAAGATGAGAACGGAAGATGAGGGCTAGGATATAAATAGCATTGGGATCACTAGATTATATTTTGACGTTGTCTCTCTATCAGGATTTCATCTATGTCCTGGTGATTGATGGACCTGGGGACGGGGGAGGGATTGGGTATTAGTATAATCGCAGAAACGCTATATACACTTTGCATTGGAACTGTGAGAGCAGGGCTGCATTGTATTAGATGTAGCTATATACATCCATATGTACAGAAAGTAGTTATCTATGCCTGAAACGAGGGAGATAACGGAAGATGAAGCCAAAAAAAAAAAAAGAAAAAAAGAAAAAAAAAAAAGAAAGAAAAAAGAAAAAAAGAAAGAAAGAAAAGAAAAGAAACTTCTGCTATCTTTCCGAGGTACAGTACCATATCAAGAAGCGGCAAAGGCCCCAACGCCATGAGGCATGTACCCTGCACGCCAATTTTGTATGCAGAGCTACCTCACTGGTGGCGGTTGGCGGGTTACAGCACTTAGTTTGCAAGTTTATCTTCATTGCTAGATAAAACTTACTCCCTCCTCAAACAACACAAGGCACGAATCAACCAACTTAAATATTCACTTTCACTTACTCAACACAATGACTCCCACCTTTTTCAACTCAGATCAGCTGTAACTCACCATATCCTCACCTCTTTCCGCTCCTACATTCCATCCATCTACCTCACCTCCGTCTTTACCGCTTATCTCCAACCCATCTCTTTCGCTGTACAACACGAAAACGTCCACCGCAAATCCGCTCACCGTGATCTCCAAACCAAACTAGGCGCTGGCTAAAAGAAAAGATGGCGCAGCGGATCTTGATGAATGAGTTTAAAAGCCTGGCAAAAGAGAAATGGGTACATATCGAGGTTGGTCGGTTTCTGCTCATGCGGATTCTTGGTTTCTACCACTTATCCCTCCGTCCTTTCAAGCAGCCCCAAAAGTTTTTCCTTTTTTATTTGAAAAGTATATCCCAATAGCTCAAATCACTAACAACTGAGTGTCATTTCGTGTGCAATGTTGTTATAGCTGAAAGATGACAACATTTTCTATTGGAACATTGCACTCATAGTCCTAAATCCCGACTCGCTCTACTACGGCGGCTATTTCAAGGCCACCATGACCTTTCCGCCAAACTACCCTTACTCACCGCCTAGTACGTCCTCCTAAATAAGTATTAAAAGATGTATCTTTCACATCAAATCTCACACAGCCGCGGATGGCAAAAAGAAGAGCCTACTACTTGTCTATGCGCGCAATAAAGTCCCCCTTTCAATCCAATCCTCATATCGAACCAGCTATAGTACATCCTGAACATGAACTAAAAGAAGTAAAACCAAAAACCCAGGCTTCAAATTCACCCGCCCCCTTTTCCACCCAAATATATACACAGATGGCCGCCTTTGCATATCCATCCTCCACTCCCCCGGTGAAGACGAAATGTCCGGCGAATCCGCCGCGGAACGCTGGTCCCCGGCCCAACGCGTTGAATCAGTCCTCATCTCCATTCTCTCTCTTCTCGATGACGCGGAGGTATCGTCTCCTGCCAATGTGGATGCAGGCGTGATGCTGCGCAAGGATCCGGAGGCTTATAAGAAGACTGTTATGGGGGACGTGGAGAGGAGTAAAGAGGATATTCCGGATGGGTTTGTTATGCCGACGGCGCATGAGGTGGGGGGGAAGGGTGGGGTTGGAGGAGTAGCGGTGGAGAAGATGGATGATGAGGATTTTTGGGTCGATAGTGATGTGGATGGGTATGAGAATGATATGTTTCGGGGAAGTGATTCGGAGAAGGAGATCGGGATGGACGATGAGGATGAGTATGAGGATACGGGGAGTGAGGATGGAGATGTTAAGAAGGCTGTTTGATTGCCAAGTGTAGCCTTTCTTTTTACCCCTTTTCATGGGCTTCTATTACCCCCTTCCACTAATCCTATCCATTTCCACCCCAAGTAACTGATATATCCCATCCCATCTATTTTTCATGCATGTGCATAGCAGCAAGCGGTTGCATTTGAGCGTTTATGGCGTGGCGCAAGTCTCCTGAATTTTGTTGTTCTCTCTTTCATCCACCTTTCTATCATCTCTTACTTGGTTCCTCGATTACTCTCGACCTTTCTTTCCACTACTCAGCACGTTGAGATTGGACTTTAATATTTAGCGACATTCCCTGGCGTTTCCCCTCTCTTCCTGCCTCTTGTCCCAGTTCACTCTCGAGAAACCTTACATTTAGATCTATTTTCCACTTCTCTCTCTGCTATATCGGCAAATTATCTTGTTCTTTGCGCTTCATACTTGCTATTATAAAAGTCTTTTGAATTGCAAATAACTCAGCATTAAATATCTCACATTTCATTTCTAAATTTTCAGGAATATAGCTTATACTTCCACTCTGTAACCACCGTGTTCACAAAAATCATGTGCTCTTCATTTATCTCACCTCTCATATTTTGTACTCTCTTGTCTTTTTTTTTTTTTTTTTCTGTTGGGTCAGCTGGATTCAATCGCAACAGGTAAGAGAGTAATTCGCAGCTTAAGTGATTGGTTTCTTTCAGTTCCCATCCCGCATGTTTCCAGGATCCCAATGCCCTCGCTTCCCATCCCCTATTCAAATATGGGTAGACAAACAGTGCAAAATAAGTATTGACATGGTATTAGATATTTCATGTATGAACAAGGTATTATTCTAAGATAGTCATCATGTTCCTCAAAAAGGGTTAGATTTGGGGTGAACAGGATAATCAAATAGGGGCCAAGAAATAGTGAAGAGGATTATAATTATAACATCATAACCTATCTATCAACATGTGTGAAGTAAGAATATATATCAAAACAGAAGATAAGAAGCACTCCAAAAAAGAAAATTAATGACTACGTATGCCCAAAAACAAGCAGCACATACAGGTATACGTTTATGCAGAAATATTCACAGCCCAGGATATACCGGTAAATTTCCATGCGAAGCAAATAAGATATTGAATAAGCCAAAGAGAAGAAAGCAAATAAATAAATAAAATAAATAAATAAACCGCTCTCCCACCCTCTAACCTCCCCAGTCATATCATAAAATAGTCACCCTCGACTTTGTCAATAGATCTCCAACATACCCTATCTTCTCTCTCGCGTCGTCACACACACGCGCATACTCCAACAGCAGCCGATATGTATAAATCTTCATATCCTCCCTCCTAAGGACCTTCTCAGCCCACGCCTTGCCATCCAACGCAATATCCCTCGCCACCTCATCCCTTCCCGGCCCACCATCATGACCGAAAAAGAACTCCATAAGGCCATAGATGTCCGCGTAGGTTGAATCCATGGGCACGAAATGCGCCCAGGGCACTAGCCGTGAATCATGCCATTCGTTGTACAGCGTTGACTTGAATGGGAGGGATGAGGAGAGTAGGAAGCCGCGGTACCGTCCGCTGAAGGAGTTGCCGTCAATGTCTGCGAGGTATTTCATCTTGTACTGATCTGGCATGGAGATGGAGTTGCTGATGGCGAAGAAAGGCGAAGTGTATGGGCATGTCGGTTCTTTTTGGTCCGGGAAACAGACTAGGTCTGTGAAGCCTGCGTCAGAGTGTTTTTCGAGCAGGTCGGCTATATGCCCATCCCGTCCTGTCTGGGCGAGGTGGTATATGTTGTAGTTGGGCAGCGCGAAGTTGGGAGACGGTGACTGGCCGGTTTCTGCCAGGCGAACAGCAGTGGCATTTACCATGGCCACAAAACGGTGGCGGTGGAAGCCGCGCCAATTCTCCTCCTTGTTGCGGCCGCCAGTTGCTGAGCCGCGCCAGACGAGCTTGTTCGCTTTCAAGGCCCAGGCGCCGCCATGTTGTTCGTCGCCGGACCAGATGGTATTCTCCGCGAAGTACATAGCTGCTGGTAGGAGGATTTCGTTGTTGACAGGGAGCTTAGAGCCTCCGAAGAGCGGGAAGAGTTTCTGAGAGGTGGAGATTGAGATGGGTTCGATGAAGTTGCCGTGAAGGACTTGGAGTTCGGGACGGTTGCAGAGGTTTTTGGCATGGGAGAAGTTGGAGACATACCCTTCGGATGAAAAGTTGAGATAGTTGTGATATTGCGGGGGTAGTGGTTTGGCGAAGTCGATAGGAGAGAGTGTTTGGGTGCGTGCGGCACTGTCCTCTGGACATCCCCGGATAACCATTTTCCAGTACGGGCCCTGACCAGGCCCCTCATACTCAGGGTCGTAGGGAGGATCAGGTGTCTTTGTTTCAGGGAGCTTCGTGAAATTTTGTACAACGTCGGTAGGTTTTGGCATATTTCGAGTCGCACGACCTTTAGATTCGTACTCTCGGATTTTCTCGAATGGCACTATGATTCTGGGCTCATCCATCACATTGAGGGGCACAACGACATCCGGAAGATATTTTTGGATGGACTCGATCAACCTGGTCCATATTGGAACCCAAATCTGCTCTCCGGGACTGATTGTCGATGTTTTATGATCTCGGACGACCACGCGGTGCTCGAGACTGGCAGCCTGCTGTCGCAGATCGGAAGGGTTAAAAGCCCAGTAAGGAGCTAAGTCATCATATATCCGGTCGAAGAAGTCCTCAACAATAACTGCATTGTTTTCCTTTGCAAAGTAAAACCACTTATCGAAGCCAGGAGGCGGGTGTCGACCCCGACGCCGCCTATACTCTCTTGCTGCAGCTCTGACATCGTGTGTCTGGCTCTCCCGCAACCGTCTCCACTCCTCTTCTGCGTTCCATATGAGCGAGTTTATAGGATGAGGGCTGGAAAAACTATGGCGGATTGAGGACCTTTGGGGTCGATGGTACCAAAAAGGTATAGAAAACTGGTGGATAAGGGCGAAAGAGGCGATCAGGGCAAAAAGGAGGTAGAGGGAGGAGGGAAACCTTGTGGATAGCAGGCCTGTAACCCAAGACATCTCGAAACCAGGCATCGAGGAAAATTGTCGAGCATGGGAGAGCAGATAGCTACGTTATGTTCCACAACTGGCATCTTTGGAGCCCGCGATCACATAACCAATGTCGACACCTTGCTTGATAAAATACTCTTCAAGATTTTTGCCTTAAAGCAAGACGCTATCTAAAAAGATACCAAGAAATTAGGATGACTTGACTCCAACTCTGACTCCGTACCGCAGTAACTTCACCACCGAGCGGCGGATTCTCTCTGAAAATCATCAAATATTTAATGTATTCAACAACCAACACGCTTAAATATTGAAAATATTAATAAATTAAGATTTATCTAATAATTGAATATATATTTATTAGGGAAACTGTGTATAGTATGTTCAATAGTCCCACAGCCACTGCAGCATGGTGGAGCTCACTGGTAAGACATAGCTTCAATCTGAGCTTTAACCTGCAGATCAAGCTGCTGAACACACCCATGATTTTCCTGTATATAAAATAATTGATTTCTTGATGAAGAGGAAGATTTATACTCCTAGTCATCTGTACAGTCTCTCAAGATGTTGAAGATAAGATATTAAGTTATTAGATAGCTGTCTCTTCTTATTAAGACTTCTTTGCAAGTGATAAATCTTATAATTAAACCTATAAGTGATTTGAGATATTTGAAATGATGAAGGCATTGAGCTTTTATTATTAATTAAAAATAATAATAATAATGATATTGATGTACATAGTTGAAAGATAATTTTTGATAGAATTTTTTTTATATCTAATAATTTAAACTCTGCTTTAGTAAAGTTACTGTTGATATTTTTTATATAAAAATCTTCTCATGTGCAAATGAATAAAAAGGAAAAAAAATTATTTTTATTAATATAATTATTTTCTGCAATTATTTTCTTAATTAACTTTATATATATATATTGAATAATATTTAAAATATAATTTAAATAATTTTAAATTGATGTGGATTTATTACATCAGTGATTAATTTATTAATATTTATAATTATTTTTTTTATTCTATAAAAGAATTGATTTTTATGTTAAAATATTTGATATTTGTTTTAAAAAAAATATTATTAGTAAAATAGAATATTATATTAATTTTATATATTTAATAATTACTTATTTAAAAAATATATAAATAATTATTATATAATTTTTTATTATACTCAGCTCCGGTAATAATTTTAAAGATTATATAAAGTTTCATTATAAAGTCAATCTTATCAAAGTTTTAGAATATTATTTTTATGAATTTCAAGTTCTTGAATAGCTTAATATATTATTTTTATTTATTATTTAATAATTTTAAAATTTTTATGCTTCACTTATTGATAAAATATACAGTGATTATAATATATATTTTATTGAGAATAAAGTTGAATAAATCTAAATACTTAATTGACTTTAAAAATAATAATAGAATCAAAAATATATATTTGAAATAGAATCTGTATCATTTCATATAAAATCTTTAATTAAATTAAAAAAGTTACATCTATCTTCATGTAATATTTATTTGGGAAGAGTTTTCTTTTCAATCTCTGTTAATTTATGATCATTTATATGTGTTTCTGAGCATGATTTGATGTCAACAAGCTGTTTGTCAACAAGCTGTTTGTCCAGAGTAGTTTCAGAAATCTCATATATCTAATACAGCTTTCATCTTTGATATATATATATATTGATTTATATGCAGCAATGACCAACCGCATGTGAGATTTTTGAGATAAGAGCATTTTGAATAAAAAGCACAAAGAAATAATGTGTTGAAGATAGTTGAGTTGAATATTTGATGATTCTCATTGATGATTTTCAGAGAGAATCCGCCGCTCAGAGGTATCCGCCGTTCGGTGGTGAAGTTCGTTAAGTTGGTTATTCAAAATTATTTTAAATACAAAATTCAAATAACCTTGGAAAATGAAAAAGTTGCCGGGAATTGATAGGCCAATTCAGATTT